GAAAACTCAAATATCTGCAGTGGGAAACAAGCAAAAAACACTAAGATTTCATTGCCTGTGTCACAGTGACACCAGCTGGCCAACCAAGTTATGGCAACTGTACTTAATAACGCTATCTATTGGTTGGATTTCATGTAAGACTCTTGGCACTTTTTGAAGCGTGGTACAGTTTTCATTAAATAAAAAACTAAGATTTTAAACCACAATTAAGGTATAAAAGGAAGATACATGAATTATGATACAATTTTAAATATAAGATCACTGCACTCATCTATAAAAGTCTACAGTCAGATGCTAAGTGATACATTTAACACTTATTTTCTCTGAAATTTTATCTCTATCCAAACAGAAAAATGGACTTGAGGTTAAACATAATTTACTGTTTACTTCTCAGGCAAATAAAGGGAGAAAATAAGCCAACATTTAGGCGAACGAACGCCTTGCTGGTTTTAAAATATTGTTTTCTCTTGGGAAGAAAGGAACCATACAGCTGAGTTTCATTTTAATGCAAGGGTATTAAATACCTAAGACTCCCTCCTAGGCATGTTTTTAATGAGAGCGGTACAGTTTCACATCTGCACGCGTCTTTCTGGAGATGCGGAGCATGTGCTGGCTGCTGCTCCGGGCTCCCCAAGAGCCCAGGCAGCAAGGGCAGCCTGCAGGACAGCTCCTTTTCCCCTTCTCTGCCTCCCAGTACAAACCAAGTAACACGGGAGGGGAATTTCCAGAAAAAGAATTTGGCATTAGCCAATGAGTAAATCTTCAAAGCAGGCTTTGAGTACATAAGCAAAAACTCTTTCAAAGCTAGTTTAAGGCAAAGGTGGTTAACTAAAGACTCTTGCTCAGGCTTTGGCTACAAAGTAACCCTGAAAAAGAACAAAGCTAAGGAAATTAGTTACCAAATACCAAGCTGGAGCTGACATTTGCTCCATTTTACTATAGTAATAGAATGTGTGGTACTGTTTCAAGGCCAGGAAAAAAGACCAAGAAATAAGCAGAGTCCAGAAACAGATCCACACACACAGAATCAATCATTTGATCAACAGCAAAAACCCCTAGTGAAGAAGTGACAATCTTTTCCTTCTCCAAGCTTGGAGGTACAACTGATAAAAATGTATGTAACTGTAAGGTGTACAATGGTTTTTTGGTTTGTTTTTGTTTTTCTGTAGACAGGGTCTAATTAACTATATGTAACTCAGGCTGACCTTGAACTCACTGTATAGCACAGGCTGGCCTCAAACTCATGGTGATCCTCCTGCCTCAGCCTCTTGAGTGCTGGGATTACAGATGTGTGCTACCACACCCACCTGTGATTTTCTTTTATATTCTACTATACTTTGAAATAATTACCACAATCAAGCTAATTAGCATATGAACTCAAGTAGTGATCATATGTGTGCGTGTCTGTATGTGTGTGGTGAGAGTACCTAGACTTACTCTCTCAGTAAATTTCAAGCATATAATACATACTGCTATTATTATTTTTGTTTTTTGAGACAGAGTTTTGGTTCACTAAGCTGATAAACTGCCCAGGCTGGGTTTAAACTTGTGATGCTCCTTCAGCCTCCCAGGCTGCTGGGATTGTAGCACCATGCCATGCTCAATTTCATTTTCTTACAGGACAGCACAAAGCACAGTCTTCTCCATAAACACCGGTGGTCAGCTGGACGGTCATTCTGGTGAGGGAAACCAACCACGATCCCTTCTTCACATGGGATATACATATTAATTCAGCATTAACCGCAGAACTAAGTATGAGGAAGCAAAACAAAACTGTAGAACAGTATGTATACACTGCGTAGCAAAGATTTCACAAATGAGACACAAAAGTCAGTACAGAAGGAAACACTGACAAACTGGACTTCATTAAAATTAACAATTTTTGTTCACTGAAAATATTACTAATAGTACAGACTGGAAAAGGATACAGACTGGAAAAGGATATTTGTGCTATGTCCAAACAAATGACTCATACTCAAAATATACAAAGAACTTCCACAGTGAACTAGAAAAAGGCACACGCCCAGCTGGAAATGATCAAATGACCTAAAAAGCCAGTGGTCAATAAAAATATGGAAATGTGTTCAACATCTTTAGTCACAGGGGAAATAATATTAAACCACAATGGAAACAGGCGTGGGAGTGCACACGTGTAAGCCCAGCACTCAAGAGGCTGAGGCAGAAAGGTTTCGCGTTTGAGGTCATCCTGGCCTACATAGTTACATAGGAGATCCTGTCTCAAAAAACAAAATAGACAAAAAAAACACACAATGGGATACTATGACAACATCATCAGAATGGCTCAGATTTAAATGTAAAATCCTAGAACTCTCATTTATTGCTGGTAAAACTGCCAACTAGTTCAACACCTGGCTAGAGTCATGACCTGGCAGATTCACTCTTGGGTAAAGAACTCAGCAGAAGCAGCACAATTAAAAAGGATGAAATACTGCCATAAATGACAAGATTAATACATCTCACAGGTAGAGTACTGAGGGATGACTGCTGGCATGTACTTCAGGAACTGCCCAAAGCAATCTATAGTGGGTTTAGATTAATGGTGGTTACTTGGGAGGGGCCTTCTGAGGGCCTGGGAATGGTCTCCACCTTCATCTGGGTGACGGTTCCACTGAGCTGTACACTTTATAGCTGTGCTTTTTACTGTGTAACAGCTCTTCCCCAATAACAAAGAACAGCGAGAAAAAGAACAGACTGAATGTGGCGGGTGACTTTCCCAACACTACATGCAACTTTTTTTTTTTTTTGGTGCTGAAACAGAATTTGTGCTATCACTAAGCTACACCCTCAGCCTCTGCAACATTGTGTACATATTGCACCTTCCTTGGTAGAGGTCCTTTGCTTTCACCAGATTGTCTTTCAGTAAGCTGGCTCCTTGATGGCAGGTACTTTTATCCACTGCTATATCCCCAGTGCGTTGCCTGATATATAACATTACTCAATACAGAATAAAATCACAGAAGGGACTACAGTCTTGGTCTAATGAATATACAAATAGAAAGTTATAGAGCAACTGGTAAAGGATAATGATGGTAACTTGAGTTTCCTTACTATGTAGGTATCTCTTAGACTAAAACCTGAAGCAAAAATGTCCTCTGTGTGCTCAGGACTTAAGAATCACCTAGTAATCACTTTACTTTTGGCCACAGGTACACAGAACCTACGTTAAAGCACTTGCAAGCAAAAGCAAAGCAAAACAACACTGCGGCTTAGATGTGCTCTGTCGGTGGCAAGACTCATGGAGATCTGGTTGCGAAGGTCGCAGCGTTGGGCAGTAAGGCCTGTAAGAGGGAGCAGTGTCTTTCTCACGTGACTGAATTAAGTCGCTCACATAGTGCTTACAAAGCATCCCACTCCCTCTGTCCCGGCCTCTTCCACATGCACTTGCCACTCATGTAAGCATTCCCACCCATGACACTATCCGTCAAGTTCTGCTGTACCAGGAGGCCCTTGCCAGATGCAGCTGCCTGACCTTGAACTTCCTGCCTTCAGAACTGTGAATAAACCTCTTTTCTGTATACATTATCCAAGTCTCAGGTATTGTTATAGCAACAGAAAACAGACTAAGACATAAAGCTTGAAGACACGTTAGTTCCTTTCAAGAGACTGTTGAGACAAAAAGAAATTCAATGAACTTTTCTAATACCAATTAAACTGATTATTCTAAAACAGTGGTTTCCAACCAGATGTGAGTTTCTCCCTACCTTGGGCTACACTTAGCAACACCTGAAGACATTTTTCCTTTCCACAGCTATAGAGCACTTCTGCACCCAGTAGAAGAGGCCAGGGATGTGCTAAGCAGCCTATAATGCCCAGGCCGACCCCCAACAACAAAGAATTATCCAGCTCAAACGTCAATAGCATGAGATAGAGAAATCCTGAACTGAGACATCGCCTTCTGTCAAACTAAAGGACTTTATTCTTAAACATATGAAGCAAGGAGTCTTATAAAATAATTTAAGAATCTTTCAACCATTACTTTTTCAATAATATGAAAACTACATTTTCAAGTTATAAAGTTATACCAAATGTCATGAAACAGGACATTTAATGTGAACATCTCCAGAAATAATAATTATCATTTCTAAGACTCTATCAGGCATATTACTTATTTAATGTTAATATCCTCAAGAGAGTAAATAAGATTCTCATGACTGAAATAAAAAGTAGAAGAGATCAAATAAACACTAGCTAACGGTTATACTGCTAGAAATGGCACGGCACAAATCTGAACCCAAATTATCTCCACACCATGGTGTTCTCACTAAAATGCATTCAACTTAAGTTTCAACTCATAGGGAGATCAAAAAAGGCACTGGGTCGGGGCGCAGGTGTGACTTGGTGGTAGAACCTGCGCATTTTGCATGCACAGAGCCCTGGGTTCAATCCCCAGCCTTTAAAAAAAAAGCACCCGAGTTTCTTCTCCTTCTGAGTCAAGTGTGACCTGAAAAAGCCAACAGCAAAACCAGGAGCAGCTACTAAGAAATTATGTACTAATGACACCTAGGAAAGAGATTAGACAATGCCAATTTTTAAAAGATGATCTATGTCTAATATTTTTCCTTGTGACAAAATTAAGTAGTTTTATAAATTTATATGCCCAAATCATCAGACATACTCTCATTCTGGCCTATTAATGAGACAAACAAAAAAAGAATATGGCCTTAACTTAATCTTGACCAATAACTATCATGACCTACTCTGTCATCCCCATATAAGAGCATTAGACTACTGGCAAAAACCACTTTAAGAAAGCTGGGCAGGGTAGCACACGCCTGTAACCCCAGTACTCAGGAGGCTGAGGCAGGAGGACTGCTGTGAGTTTAGGCCAGCCTGTGCTACACAGTGAGACCCTATTTCAAAAAACTAACAGAGAAACCACTTTAAGAAAATATTCCCATATTAAAGGTTGTCTATTACTTTCCTCTCAACATTTAAAGGCTTTTCACAATTCTTTGCATTTATAGAAAAAACGTTCTTACCCTATTAAAGCCATGTTCATGAGTGTCATCCACTTCTCCATTACTGGTCACTGGAATTTCTGCTGCTGAATTTCTGGGAGACTCTTGAGCCATGGCAGACTCCTTAAAAAAAAAAAAGAGGGAAAAAATGCCACACTAATAACAAACCACAAAAAGGCACACAGTCAAGAGCGCATTTATCACCAGTTAATATTCACTAGCCACCAGTTTAGAACTGCAACCTACCTACTACTTCCGTAACGAACATGCTGGTAATAGAATAAAAAATGCACCTAGATGTTTTCACTGCACCCAATCTGAATTTACTTATCAAAAACAAACTCCTTGTTACAAGTACCAGTGGGCACTATCCTTGCCTCTCTATTATGACAGATCACTACGTAGAGTTAGAAGGAATATGCTACAGAAAGCCAGGCTTGGCTGTTAACTCATCTGTTGCAGCTGTTTTTCCTTTCGTATTTAACGGGCTTTTAAGTGAACTTTTTTCTAAAGGAAGAGTTTATTCAGTATAAAAAGAAAATGTAAACCTCCATACTAGGAGAATTAAGTTTTATACTCTGGCTTTAGAGTTCTAGAATAATATTTAAAAACGTATTTGTTAATTTTATAACAACAGAAAATACAAATTTCTTTCAGAGACTAAATAATAACAGAACACCAATCATGGTTGTTAAAAAAATTGCCCATCATGATTCTTTTAAAAGTTTGACTACAAGGAGAATCTCATATATTTAAAGGATCATGAAAATTATTTCCTCCTACTTTAAAAATTTAAAAACTTCTAAGTAAATAAACTAAGCAATTTATTCTACTTCTCACAGAAAACAACTACCCTTTATTCCTTCCCTCTCATTTCTTAATCACTAAAGATTCTAAAAGTATTACAGATGCAGGGACATATACAACTAAAATTTCAACAATGGTGCCCACTAGAATAAAGGCCTTGTCTGAAACACTCCCTAGGGACAGAATCACTGCAAAACACAAACAAACTAACAAACAAACATGTTATAACATAAACTCAACCCAGAAACATTATCTACTAAAACAAAGGAGACAATATTATAGGACAAAAATAACAGAATCCAGAGTTCCACACCTCAATGTTCAAAACCAATCCAAAATTACTAGACATATAAAGGACAAAAAAAAAAAAAGAACACGTTAAGGGGAAAAAAAAAATCTAGTCTGAGAGGAACCAGATGTTGAAACTGAGTTTTAAAGAAACTATTACTATCTTCAGTTAAATAAAATGAAGTATGTTTAGTGAATAAAAATCTCAGTGGAAAAAGGGAAGCTCATGGCAGGGATGTAACTCAGGGGCAGAAGCTTGCCTGGCATATGTGAGGCCCTGGGTTCCATCCCCTGCACTACAGGGAAAAAACAGTAACAAAGAAATTCTAGAGAAACCAAGCCAAATCAAAATAAATTAACCAAGGTAAAGAACACTGAAGCAGAATGAAGAAAAAAGAGATTTAGAGACCGGTTAGACGAGATTAAATGGTCCAACATATATGTAACTGAAATATCACAAGGATAGGAGGAAGAAAATTACACAGAAAAAATACTTGAAGAATTAATGGTCCAAAATTCCCCAAGTTTCTTAAGAGGAAACTGTGCAGACACAAGATGCTCAAAACACACAATGGAAAATGGACACTAAGGCCAGGCCGAGGCATGTCACCATCTAACTAGAGCTGTGTGCTGCTTCACAGCAGAGTCACACCTGAGAAATAAGCCAGGCAGTTCTGATCTTCCGATACCGTAGTACACCTACAAAAACTAAGACAGGATCTGAGCAGACCACTGTCACTGACCAAAACATCATTATGTGGTGCTGACTGTATTTAAAACCAAAAATAGCTGAGTGTGGTGGCGCACGCCTGTAATCCCAGCACTCGGGAGGTTGACGCAGCAGGATCACTGAGAGTTTGCGGTCAGCCTGGGCTACAGAGTGAGTTCAAGGGCAGCCTGAACTACACAGTGAGACCCTGCCTCTAAATAAATAGTAAATCCAAAAATAAAGAGCTAACTTAAAAAGTAGCAAGAGAAAAATATTAATTCCAGGAAACCAACAAGGAGATCAATTAATGGCTGACGTCACCAGAGAATTTACAAAGGCCAGAAGAGAAAGGACGGACCATTTGAAAGTAATGAAAGAAAACTATTCACCCAGAATACTACACTCAAAAAAAAATACACTTTAAGAATAAAAGGAAATATGGGTGGCTGGGGGTTTAGCTCAGTGGCACAGTGCCTGCCCGGCAAGCGCAAAGTCATGAGTTCAATTCCTGGTACTGGACCAAAAAAAAAAAAAGAATAAAAGGAAATAAAAACATTTTAGTTAAAACTAAGAGAATTCAGTAACACAAGACCTACATTATAAGAAATGTTAAAGGAAGTTCTTCAGGCTGAAGACAAATAAAATCAGAAATATAAATCTTGAGAAAGGAACCACGAGGAACTAAAAAAGTAAATAAATCCTTGAGTAAACACACAATACTACTTCTCTTCTTGCCTCTTCCTCTTAATCTCTTCATAAACCATATAACTGCTGGCAACAAACACTGTAACGTTGCCTTCCGAGGTGCCTAATATCAAAGAACAAGGGGAGGAAAATAAAAGAACAAGCACTGGCGTGAGAGAAGTATAGCCCACAGGGCACAATATTTTAACATTTTAAGTGAAGCCATATAATTAAAAGTGAAACACGAAAACTTTAGAATACAAACAGTAGGTGAATTACTAGGAAAAAGAATATGGAATTCTAAAAACATTCAAATAATCAAGTACATTAACATGCAGGAAAGAAGAAATGTAGGGAGAAAAAAATGAGAGTGTAAAATGTTGGGAGCAGCTGGAGCTGGAAACCGGTCACAGGTGTGCAGGGAAGACAAGGCCACAGCGCCGAAAGCAGTCGGGCTGCCTCCGTCCTGAGGAAAGCATCCCGCCTGGACAATTCGGTCATCAGTCCCTAGCAACCTTGTGTCTCGGGACCCTAACTCTGCAGGGGTGTAACTGTGCAAGTTAGAACGCCCCTACTGTTTTTGTTTAGTCCCCTTGCCCATCCAGTGAAGAGGCGTCCACCTGACGCAGCTCTGTCTCTAGTCTATCTCTTCCTCATTCCCTCAGCCATTCCTCCCCCAGGGTACACCGAGAGACCAACCAGTTCCTACAGTAAAGAACAAAGTAAAAAACTGAAAGAAAGAGAGAGCAGAAATGCCTGATCATAATTTATTTTAGAGGTTAGACAGAAAAGAAAGACTGAATGGAAGAAAGTCTATTTGGGAGGATATTTTACAGTCCAGATAAGAAATAAGATCTGAATTAAAGTTGTGGAAAGAGAAAAAGGCTTTCCAGCAATACAGAGGCGGAGTAAGAGCCTTAAGAATGACAGC